GACTTGCTGCCATGATTCAGTTACCTCGCACCAGGTCCCTCCCACAACACATGGGAATTCAAGTTGAGATTTGGGTGGGGACATAGCCAAACCATATTAATGACAAAGACACCAAAAGCAATCACAACAAAAGAAAAAATTGACAAGTGGGATCTAATTAAACTTAAGAGTTTCTGCACAGCAAAAGAAACTATCAACAGAGTAAACAGACAACCTTCAGAATGGGAGAAAATTTTTACAAACTGACAAAGGTCTAATATCCAGCATCTATAAGGAACTTAAGCAAACTTACAAAAGGAAAACAAACGACCCTATTAAAAAGTGGGCAAAGGACACGAAAAAACACTTCTCAAAAGAAGACATACATGTGGCCAACAAGCATATGAAAAAAGCTCAATACCACTGATTATAAGGTAAATGCAAATCAAAACCACAAGGAGATGTCTCACACCACTCAGAATGGCTATTATTAAAAAGTCAAAAAGTAACAGACACTGGCGAGGTTTCAGAGGAAAGGGAACACTTATACACTGTTGATGGGAGTGTAAATTAGTTCAACCATTGTCGAAAGCAGCACAACAATCCCTCAATGAGCTAAAAGCAGAACTACCATTTGACCCAGCAATCTCACTATTGGGTATATACCCAGAGGAATATAAAGGGTTCTACCATAAAGAGACATGCACGTAAATGTTCATTGCAGCACTGCTCACAATAGCAAAGACATGGAATCAACCTAAATGCCCATCAATGATGCACTGGATAAAATAAATGTGGTACATATACCCCATGAAATATTAGAAAAGAATGAAATCATGTCTTTTGTAGGAACATGGATGGAGCGAAAGGCTATCATCAAATTAGCAAACTAACACAGGAAAGGAAAACCAAATACTACACGATCTCACATGTAAGTGAGAGCTGAAAGATAAGAACTTATGAACGCGAGAAGGAGACATCAGACACTGAGGTCTACTTGACGGGGGATGGTGGGAGAAGGGAGAGGAGCAGAAAAGATAACTATTGGGTACTGAGCTTAATACCTGGGTGATATAATAATATGTACAACAAACCCCTATGGCACGTGTTTATGTACGTAACAAACCTTTATATGTACCCCAAAACCTAAAATACAACTTCTAAAAAAGCATAATTCAGTTTCCAAGAGATTTTTCCTGGATGTGAGATGATGTGGTGGCTTAGACAGTACTCCTTTATTGTTTGGCTCTCTTCTCTACAATATGTAAATTCTAATTTGGTTCCTCTTAAATGTGAACTGGCATAATTTTGGAGAACAGATTCTAAAAGTCAATAAATTTCGTCTGGCTCTCTTCTTCAAATATTCTTAGAGTACATATGCTTTGCTATAAGTAAGCCCAAGCCATCCCATCTGAAGGCACATAGAGAAGCTATGCACAGGTGCTCTGGCCAAAAATCAAGCTGAAGGCCCAGCTGACAGCTAGTATCAGCCACCAGACCTATGAGTGAGGAAGTCTTTGAGATGGCTCCAAGCCCAGTCACCAGCTGCCTGCAAAGCATGAGAGATTCCCAGCAATGATGCCTAGAGGAGCCCAGTCACACCCTGAAGCCATGAGAAATAGTAATAGCAAGTGATTGATGTTGCCATACTCTGCTAAATTTGAGGTGGTTTTCTATGCAGTAATCAATAACCAGGACAGGAGACAAATCATTTCCAACTCTACTCCATTTTAAAATGGTGGCAGGTGAAGCAAGTGTTCCAAGGGGGTGACTCTGCCTGAGTGGTTCCCAGTTCCACTGTTGTGTCCTCTCAATCCTGAAGGACTCAAAAACAATTTATCTGGGTTCGTTAGTTTGCTCTAATTTCATGTTTAACCCTCAACTCTGAGGAGTGGTGGCTTGGTGGAGGGAAGGATCAAGATCATCTGGAGAAGGGTTTGGTGGGGCAGTTTAAAGTGAGCATGAGGTGTGATTCTTTCCACCTTTAGGAGTAAAATAGAAAAAGGATTAGACAATGCTCCTATGAGAGAAGATGTTGGAATCTATGGTAGAAAAGATAAGAGTATGAGTCATTCATAATATACTGCCTATAATAATCATGGTAGCCTCTGAAACTTGCTATTAATGAGCTCTGATTATGACATATTTTGTAGTCATACACCCTTGGGCAAATTTCTTATCTCTGTCTTTATCAGTTTCCTTTCCTATCAAATGAAGAGCCCATCACATCGATTGTTTTTAGGAAAATGAAGAGTTCACGTTTTTGAAGTGGCTTTGGACACTGCCTAACAAATAGTATATTTAAATGTTAGTTAAATAAAGTAACTGTAACTTTAGGATTCCCATATTTTCCAGGCTTTCAGGAACAGTAATTTATCTTAATGTAAAAATATTGTGATGTTCTTAAATCTTTATGATATTTTCTTGTGTTTTTTTTGTTGTGTTTTTTTGTTTTGTTTTGTTTTGTTTTTGACATGATTAAGAGCGTGGGTTTTGGAGTTGGCCTGATAGAGTTCAATTCCTATTGACTTATCAGCTGCCTTATCCTGAAGACATTTAACTATCTTAAGCCTCAGTATTCTAAGCTATAAAATGGAAAGAAGATTAGTACTTACCTCATAAGATAGTCATGAGGATTAAATATTATTTAAAAACACTTAAGCATAGTATATGACAAACAGAAGATAATAAATATGAGTTATCGTGACTATCATCTTTTTCACCTCTGCAAAACTCCTGAGTACTAGAAAGGAGAAAATCTTCTGGATGCTACTGGTTCACAGAATTGTGTGATTTGGCTCCAGCAATGTCCCAGAAATGGGTCCCTCCTGAAGTTAGGAATTCAGAATTACTGGGTTTCTTAGGCTTCAGCTCTTCCTAGCTCAATACCCCTCTCTCTACGAGAAAATGTATTAACTCCTACAATTCTACTCATGTTTCACTAGGGACATCTTGTGACAAGCATGAGGCTCAGAAAAGATGTGGGGGGATGAGAGGATGGAGGAGGTCAGTGCTGGGAAACCTCCTAGCCCGACTGGGTTGCACTCGTTGTCAACTGGCTTTCTTCCTGCAGATTAGGGTGGATTAAGGGATTTTTGTAAGGTGAGAAAGATTAATACTAAATTTTATAAGCCAAACATCCTGGAAATTTCATTAAAGACAAATGTTATCTTTGTTTTATAAAACCTAACACTTGTTTATCAAGAAAAATGCAGAAAAGGAACATAAATATGAAACAACAATAAAAACCTGCAACTCCTTTTACAGTTGTTTGCATTAACATGTCAGGCACTGCAAAATGATCTTTTTGCTTTGCCCCATTCTCTATATTTTTTCCCTCACCAAAAAAGTAAACAATTCTTTTTTCTCAAGTGATTCTCCTTCCTCAGCCTCCTGAATACCTGGACCTGCAAGCATGCACTACCATACCCCGCTAATTATTATTATTATTATTATTATTGAGACAAAGCCTTGCTATGTTGCCCAGGCTGGTCTCAATCTCCTGGCCTCAAGAGATCCTCCTGCCTCAGCCTCCCAAAGTGCTGGGATTGCAGGCACGAGCCACTGCACCCGGCCAAAAGTTAATAGTTCTTTATACTAAAATTTCTCCTCTTTATATTGCTGATGTGGTTTGTATTTCCTGAATGAATCTGGAGTAATACAATGTCTGAGGAAAAATCTTTGGTGGAACTCAGAGCTATGGGAGGTAAATTTTCCATGGTGTGAAGACATTTTATTTCTAATATTTGGTAACTGTTATGATTGACAAATAAATATACCTTCCCCATCCTGCCTCATTCTTGTTACCCAGATGTGGATCGTCTTTCGCCCCAAGCCAATGTTAAAGCTCATCTAACTACTATTTTATTCCATTGTCCAAATCAGATTCAAAACTAAAATACAGTAGCAAAAATCAAAATTGTTCTGGACACTACACTAAACAATTTTTAGAACACTAAAAATTGTTCTTTAGTTTCTTTAGGAAAACTAAAGAAGATAATTTGTATTATATTACCACACAGCATAATTTTCTAAAGATCTATTTTAGATATTTTTATTCTTTTTTGAAATTTCTTCCTAAGTCTTATCCTACCTTACTTCTTTTCTTCTTCTACTTCTCTAACGTCTCTCTCTCTCTCTTTCTTTTTTTAAGATTATTGTCTTCACCATTAGATACAGCCTTCAGTTTGCATATCTCACTCAGTAGAACATGGCAGCTAGCTGTCCCGTGCGAGGGTGTAACTCTCCCATCCCATGTGGCTTATGAAGTTATTGATTGAACAAAAATATAGCTGATTTGGGTTGAAGGAAGGGGGTTAAATCACATAGCTAAAAAAAGCAATAAAATATTTTGTTATGCCTTTTTCTCAAATGAAATGAGAGATTTTGTCTTTTTTTTTTTTTTTTTTTTGGTAAACACATGTAAAACAATGTAATAATGTGGAGACCATGCTAAGTTACAGTGAAGAAAATTTATTTTTCCTAGACATGGCAGTAAATGTAAATTTCTTTTTCGAGGGCAAAATAATCCTAGTAGTTAAACAGGAAGAAGAAAATGAAAAGGACTTCAGGGGATTAAAGTGTTGATCATCAAAAATGGAAAATGTGATTTTGAAGTGAGGAAACCCCAAAAGCAAGTTATATGGTAATTCAATGGTAAGAGTCACATCAGAGCAGTGTCTGTAATTCTGTGTGAGTGCTCCTTGAAAAAGAAAATGGAGGAAGAGGTTCTGTGGAAGAGGCAGTCACGTGTAAAGAAAGTTTAGGAGCTTGGAGAGGCATTTCTCAGAAATCTGGCAAGCCATTCCATTCTACATGTAATGGAGAGGAAATGCAGTGGGGTGATGAGGAAAGCTTCTAACACACCAGGATGACAATCCAGTGACTCCCAGGGAAGCATAATCTTTTATCTTATAATTTTTTTAACTGCAGGTATAGTATATGAGTGGTATGAGAAATTACCATAACACAAAATTGTGTGAACTGTGAAAGTTCCCCTTATGAATAAAGACAAAACAGACTTTCCATCAGTTCTTCAGACCATATGGCCTTATTTTCTATTTGGAAAACAGGGTACTCTACTGCTATCAGATCTTTGAGCCAGAAGCTGGCCTTGGAGGAAATCTGTGGTCTTTCAGTGGTAGCTACCATGGGTCCCTCCAAGTCTAGTAAGAGTCTCAGAGGCAGAGCTGGCAAGGGCTAAGAACACTGCAAATAGAAATGGACCATAAAAATAGGAAAGTCATTTAAAAAATGAACTTGGATTATACACATGGATGTGTCCTTAATAATGAACTCTGTTAAGTAATGAAGGCTTTGCATGGGGACTGTGTACATAAAATCACAGTAGACTGTTGAGGTCGTGTTAGAGTGCTTATATAACTCTCAGGTAAGTTTTGATGAAGGAATTTGTGCCTCACAGTGAGAAGATGAGATCAGTTGGTAAAGGAGAAAATGAGTTTATTTATTCTGTGGAAGTTGGGAACTTGTAAAAAAAATGGAGAAACAAATAAATTATTGAAAACTGTGATTTCTTCAAGAGGTCTGGAAATCCTACAGTTTAGATGGCATACAAATAGAAAGTGGTTAGCCTGAGCTAGTCAGAACAAATGAGTATCTCTGAGACTAAGACTTTTGTATTTGTGCCCCATCAACAAATTTACATTTTAAATTGACTTTTAAAAGTAAGACTAAATAATACGAGGATAGCAAATAGTTTTAAAGACCTTTTAAAATTTGATTTCAAAACTAAAGTCACTTTCCATGAAAGATAAATAGTGCTGTTACAGCAAAATAATAAATTAAATAAGATGTATAGAGAAAAATAGATAATTTATTTATAGAGATAAATTTAGTAATTTATCTTATTAAAACAAATGTTCTTATATAAATGTTCTTGAAGCCCTCCTTACTCCTAAGCTTCCATTTGTGAATTTTTTAAAGACTGTATTAGTTAGATATTCTGTTCCTTGCAACTTCCTAAGAGATGTGTTCACATTTCTACCTTTTTTTTTTTTAACTTAAATGCTGATTTTATTAGGGTGAATTTATAAAAGCTAAGTTGTTGGTTAAAATGGCGTATGACATATACAATTTAATAAAAATTCACAAATTATAAAGCATTAAACAAAATAAGAGACTGAAAATGGCAAGAATAAGTACTAAACAAACACTATTGGATAACATAAAGGATTAATAATTTGTTTGCCCTTTTCTTTTCTCTGGACCTGCCCTGATCTCTCATCTTTTGTGTATCTCACACTTCCTGTCAAGTCTTGGAACCTTCCCTCTATCTGGGGTGGGAAGGTGAATAGGTAGATATTGATGGTGGTAATTAAGTGGAGCAGAAAAGTATTTCAGAGAGAACAGGGAAAATTTAATCTCAATTTGTTCAAGAGAGAAGCCCAAGATGTTTAGTTGGGATAGATCCAAGGCTACTTATTTACACAAAGAGAGTTATATACGAAATTAAGTTAGATTATACACAAACAGAAAAACAATTCAATGAGAACAAAGGAAATAAGACAGGAAAGGTTAGTTGTGATCAAATATTTGAGAATGTTGAATCCAAGGCTAAGCAATTTTGGCTGCATTTTAGGGGCAGTGATAAGGCAGTATTAAGAGCTCAGCTTTTCTCTACAAATGTGCCATCCATATTTACAAAAGGATAGAAAATTGCTAATGGGCAAATATATCTTTTAATACTCTCCTCCTCTGACATATTTATTATGGACTGCATGTTTGTGCCTCCCCACCAAATTCATATATTAAAAATTCAGCCTCCAATGGGATGGTGTTGAGGTGGAGTCTTTGGGAGGTAATTAGGTTTAGATAAGGTCTAGAGAGTGGTGCTCCCATAGTAGGATTAATGTACTAATTTGTAAGAAGAGAAAAAGGACTAGAACTGACTCTCTTGGCCATGAGTGGATGCAACTAGAAGATGGCCATTAGGAAACCTGGAAGCTATCCTCATCAGACACCACACTACCTGTTGTCTTGATCTTGGACTTCACAGCCTCCACTGCAAGAAATAAGTGTCTGTTGTGCAAGCCACCCAGTCTGTGATATTTTTGTTATAGCTGACTGAGCTGCCTAAGACAGTACCCTTCCTTCACTTTATCACTGAACCACAAATACACTCCCATTTCCAACTGCATGAACCCGTACCATTCTGTTCTCTGATCCCAGTGTGTCTTTTCCCTTGTCTCATTCCAGATAATCATGAGAATCATGTGCAGGGTCTTGTGCTCCAAGCCCTCCTTTCAATGATGCACAGAACAAAGAAGATTTGAGGGACGGCTCATGGAAGAACTAAAGCCAGAGTCTGTGATGCACTCTCCAGACAGGACTGAAGAGAACAAATAATACATCTGTGGCCATTTATGACCTCAAGGGGCAATATCTATTTTCTGCAAACTTATCTGCATTTGTACTTTTTTGTTTTTGTTTCTAGTTTAAATTAGCACATCATCTGGTCTGGGATTTGGAGGAACTTGTGGTGAAAAAGGGGCATAGATTGTCTCCAGAGACCAGACCTGCTATAGCAAATTTCTAGTTGGAAAACAAGAAAGATCTTGGAGGAAAGGAATATACAGATAGGTGAAACCTTGGAAAACACAGGAAACCTGTGAATTTTAAATATTTCTGCATCTAGAGGTTTCTGTTACCTAGCCTCGCAGAGTTTCAGATAGATTGAAGAAAAAGGAAAAAAAGACCATTCTGTTATATCAGCAGCAATCCACTGGGAATACCCACTTGGGCTTTATCTTAGCTTCACTGTGAATTATTTAAATGATTTCGGGCAATTAATTTTAATTTTCTGCATTTTAGTGTCATTATATCTGGTAAGGTATGAATGCATGATCTACCATAAAAGTTCATGTTTTCAATTAATTTATTTTTATTTTTAGAGATAGGGTCTTGTGTCTCCCAGGCTGAAGTGCAGTGGCACAATCAAAGCTCACTGCAGCCTCAAACTCCTGGGCTCAAGCAATCTTCTCACCTTAGCTTTTCAAGTAGCTGGAACTACAGGCATGCACCACCATGCCCAGATAATTTTTTGATTTTTTGTAGAGGCAGTGTTGTTCAGGCTGGTCTCTGTGTTGCCCAGGCTGATCTCAAACTCCTGACCTCAAGTGATCCTCCCAGCCTGGCTTCTCAAAGAGTTTGTATTACAGACATGAGCCACCATACCTGGCCCCACAAATGCACATCAAAATATATAGTGTAGTCAAATCTTAAACAATATTTATCTGACATAATTTTTAAGTTCTGGATTTTGTAAAAAAACAAAAGGTGGTGGTAACAGTGACCCCTAGACTTGTTCACCTTTTTATTCTCAGTGTATCACATAGAGTTTGGCATATAGTTGGCGATCAGTAAACTTATATTGATTAGGTTGAATTAATGACTAAATAACTGTATTAGTCCATTCTCACACTGCTATAAAGATGTACATGCAACTGCGTAATTTATAAAGAAAAGAGGTTTAGGCAGCTCATGGTTCTGCAGACTGTACAGGCTTCTGCTTCTTGGGAGGCCTCAGGAAACTTATAATCATGGTAGAAGGGAAAGCAAGCACATCTTCACATGGATGGCAGGATTAGCGGGGTGCTACCCACTTGAACCAAGCAGGTTTTGGGAGAACTCTATCACAGGAACAGCAAGGGGAAAGCCTGCCCCCACGACTCAATCACCTTCCACCAGGCCCCACCTCCAACACTGGGAATTACAATTCGACCTGAGATTTGGGTGGGGACACAGAGCCAAACCATATCAATAACTTTTCACATTTTCTCAATATAATAGTTTGACCCTATGTCCACCTTCTTAACAGCTAGTTTCAAGAGAAAGTTAATCAATACCAACAGGGACCATTCTTGGAAAGATGTGGTACAAGACAGTATATCTTTATTTAGATACTGTTTTTTGGCATAGAAAGAAGGTGAAGTTGATGAATAGGATATGGAACATGAAGAGATAAAGGTGTTCAGTTGGCAGCAATGGTCTGCTGAATCCATTTCATGTAGTTGCAAACTTTAGTGTAGACTCCAGGTTTGTTTTTCTGAGCACAACCATTACCCCAGGAGACAATGCCCTGGAGTTCACTGTTGCAGACCACAGGGCCACCAGAGTCACCCTGGGCAAAAAGGAAGGGATATTAGAGCTCTTATTTATGACCAGATGGGAGAAGGGACTGTAAGATGTTCTTCCATTGCGCTGGGGCCATTGTCCCACACTGCTGATCCACCATGAAGCACTTTCTCTTCCTCTTAAAACCCTCCAACCCTCAATCTACTTACTCTATCAGTAGTTAGTCTTCCTTATACCTCATCTGAGCCCCTTCTCTTTCCTTGGTAGGCCAATTGGCCCAAGAGGAGGCGAGGACTATGGAGGTTTCATGCTGCTTAACTGGCTCTGTTCCTTCCACTAGAGTTCCTTTCCGCAGTTTACCTCCTCAGAAGGGCACTTGGAAGTACTATTTGCACACCATCTTCTGTGCATCTTTTAACTCTTAAACCTAGACATTAATACAATAAAAATAAAATATTTAATTTGTTCCAAGCCTATCCCTCACCTCTCACAATCAGTTATAGGGACAGTTTTACAATCCTCTGTGTTTCTGAAAAGGGGAATTATGGTGGAGAAAACTAAAAATGAGCTGGAATTGAGAAGCAGTACAAAGAAACTAACCTGGCAAGAGTCCTTTCCACCCTCCAGGAATCCCAGACATATCATGTTTGTAGTAATCTTGCCCGGGTAGGCTGTGCGGCAAGCAGTGTTAGAGAGAATGGGAGCATTCAGACACTGCAGGAGGTCAGGGTAGTTGGCTGTGGAGTGGAAGAGTAAAAAATGCAAGATTACTCATGAGGTTTCCAAAAATTTCTTTCTCAATACTTCTCCCCTCTTCCCCAATACTCTCACTCTTTCTTTCAATTAACCAATGACTTCTCATTTGAGAGAACAATATTTTTTTTCTAGAAGCTTTCCCAAATAGTTCTAATCAATGAATTGTTCTTTCTCTGACACTAGCATCAGTGACCACGATCTCACATCTATGACTTTATTTCTCAAGCAGGTATATGCTCCAGGCAAGACCAAATCCCTCAGTCTTTATTTTGTTTACCTCCTCAGTTTATAGTTCTCTGCCCATCACTAATCACACTTCAGTTAAATACCCTGATATCTTCATAGCACTTCATTATTGTGTCTTCTACATGGTTCCAGCAAAAGAATCTTCTTCATTTCAATTATTAATAGTATATTTCTGAGATTCCATATATCCAAAAACTACGCTCTGGGAACTTAGCCTTAAGTGAGTTTGGACTAGCTGACTTTCCACATGTCATTCAGCTCTAAAACTGTCATACTTGGTACTTCTGTTTCAGGTGACACTGCCACTGCTCAGGGTGTTGCCCCAGCCAGAGATGAGGCACTGAGTACCATCCGCTGCACAGGATCTTGGTAGAGAGACGGTGGCCACTTGAGAGTTGATGGTGGCAGCTGAGCTCAGCTTAATCAGCATGATGTCATTATCAATGGTGGCTGAGTTATACTCGGGGTGGCGAATAATCTTGGCTGCATTTATGAATTGTTCATTGCCTTCATAGACCTTAATGTTGTATTCTCCCAGACGCACTTGGATTCGGCTGGATCAAAAGATATAATAGGTTCCTAAGTATCTAGTTTGAGCTATTTCTACTTCTCCTGACCCCCTATTTATGAGCATAAACACAGACACCATCCTTTCCAAGCATTCAGTCACACAGTAATTGAGCACTTAAGGTAGCATTCTGCACCACCACATGGTACAGGTTAGAGTTTTCCTTAGGGAAGTGTCACTGCAAGTGCAGATTCACAGCCTGCCATCTTGTTAGAATAGTAAGGAACGGGAATAAGAACCCAAGGACTTGAATAAAACAGTTGGAGATAAAAAGGAAATTGGTGGAGTTTGATCAGCACTTGCCATTTCTCTCTGGTTGGGATCACCAGTTATCACAGGGAATGAAGCAAGAATCAGAAAAATGGCAGAATGTTAAGGAGCAGAATGAATCATGCATATTTTTAATGTTGCACTGTAAATTCTCTGCATTTTATTGCCTCCATATACAGTTTATACTGGCTGAGCTATAGTAATTAGCACTATGTACTGATTCATGTCTTAGGCTATTTCTAGGGATACTTCACCACTCACAATTTCCCTTCCGTATCTTGAATACCATCATTTGGGAAGACATCAGGGAATCCTGAAGGGTACCTCCCATGCAAAAGCCCCTTTATACATCAGATAATGCCTGAGAAAATAAAAAGTCTCTGGAAGTCTGAATGCCTCACCCTCAAGCACAACTCTGCAGTTTACTCTGAATTGTGTTTTGTCAGGGATAGAGGATTAATTAATCTTAGTGCATAAGAAAGTGAGTATCAATGACTTAAGACTTGTAGCAGTGAGTTGCGGACACCACCCATTTTTTATCGATGAGGGAGCCGCCACAGAAGTGATAGCCAGCATTCAGGGACACCTGATAGGCAACAGAATTCCTCTGACAGGTGTAGCCCCCAACGATCTTGTCATCATCATCACTAGTGGGGAAAGCGGCTGACAGAGGAAAGTTGGGAACAGTTAAACAGATCCATTTTAAAGTTCCTACAATACCATGAAGTTTTCTCAGATTTACCAAAAGAGCAGAATGTTCTCTTGTCTCATATAATCAGGAAATGGTGGTTTTAAGGTCATTTGGTGGGGGGAAATTTGTTATTCCATACCTTTAAATTGTACCCCACTTATAACATTATAAGTATCTATTTTTATTTATGCTTTAACTCTGATAAATGCATTCTTTTTTAAATATATGTACTATTCAGACACACACACACACAGATCAGAAACTCTTGACACAGTAAATGTCCTGAATATCACTTCCTGAAGACACAAGGAAACTTTTTTCACAGAACTCTGCTCCGCAGCCATGCAATTAGGTGTAATGCTTTTCAGTAGTCATGCTGATGTTGGTTTGTGGTGGTTGGTGGGATGTTGGTATGGGAGAGAGAGCTCCATACGGTAACAGAAAGGAAGCTTTAAAAAGTTACCTGAGAATTTTCTGGTCTGGAAGGAAATTAGAGATTTATACTCTTGCTCTCCCAATTTCTCCTCTTTTTTTTTTTCGAGACGGAGTCTCGCTCTGTCGCCCAGGCAGGAGTTCAGTGGCCGGATCTCAGCTCACTGCAAGCTCCGCCTCCCGGGTTCACGCCATTCTCCTGCCTCAGCCTCCCGAGTAGCTGGGACTACAGGCGCCCGCCACCTCGCCCGGCTAGTTTTTTTGTATTTTTTAGTAGAGACGGGGTTTCACTGTGTTAGCCAGGATGGTCTCGATCTGCTGACCTCGTGATCCACCCGTCTCGGCCTCCCAAAGTGCTGGGATTACAGGCTTGAACCATTGCGCCCGGCCCCAATTTCTCTTCTCGATTCCAGTCTAGAATTTGTATTAAAATCATTTTACAGAGCATTATAGGATGACCCTCTTCAGCCTTTCCTCTTATCCCAATTCTCTTTCCAACACTTATGAATTTATTCAGCTTTTAAAGTCTAGCCCACTGATGTATTAAGACATCTTGTAGCTCCAAAAGTTTGTGATTATATTTTATGAGCCCCATTGTTCAGATATTTTTAATACTTTTAGGAAAGAAGTTAGCAGGTATGTAGACAGATGCATTGAATTTATACCTACCTAACTTGAGAAAATTTAGTATTAAGTTTTAGTCGTATAAAATTTAGTAGTATAAAAGGATAACTCATCATTTTTCTATTATATTCATGATGAAATGACATGTTACTTTACACCAGAGAGATTTCCATGGCAGAAATATCGTAAAACACAGCCCATAGCTTTTATTCATGAGAAAGAAAATCGTTTTTCCCGTTGGCTTTATATCACTAGCCCTTTTGTGTGGAGAAGATGCAGGCTCTGACACCTGCAGCCTCTTTAAGAGCATACGATTATCTTCAATTATTAACTCCAAATTCTTGGAAAGGTCAAGATAAGCGCCTCCTTAATCTGGGTTATCTTTTCCTTTTCTCTCTTTCTTCATTAATTTTACTCAGAAGTTGAGAGCAAGTCCTGTATCTTTATCTTCCACCCTGATCACTTTTGCTAACTGTGATCTTCCTCCAACAAGTGAAATTTAATTATCCACAAACGTATGCATTTTACACAATTGTTTCAATATTGTAAGCTTCTTGAATACAGAGACCGGATTCAACATTCATTGTTGTCTTCCAGAGTATAAAGTACAAACTTAAGTTTAAGTTTAGACACCCACTGATTCACTCATTAGAAGAGACTCACCAGCAGCTCCCAGGAGAACAAAGAAGATGAAGGTCTTCAAGGTTGCTCACTTCACCTGGACTGGGAAATAGGATGACAGCTTTTCTTCCACAGCTATTTATCCCTCCGGACTTGTCTTGGCCTTCATGGCCACATGTGCAAGAAAAGTGATTTCACTATAAACTCACAAATCTAAATCTAAATTCTGTGACATATGGAAGATAACATTAATTTTAAACAGTAACATTTGCCTACTTTTCTAGGGGGTCATGGGACTGAAAGTAATAAAACCACCTGGTGAAAACTGTGCCCCATAATAGGTAAGTAAGGTCACAGGGCAGAGTTGCGGGTGTCCGGATTCCCAGATAAAAAATCTTAAGTAGTTGGGTGTCTCAACTGTAAATGTTTATTCTAAGAACTACTGCACTTTTGGAGTTTCATAATGTGGACTCTTTTACAATTATATATTTGTCTTATGACCACTCTGGTCTTATATATCCATGTTAGCCTTTCTCTTTTTTAAATTTCAACTCTTATTATAAATTAAATGGTACACGTGCAGGTTTTTTACATAAGTAAATTACGTGACACTGAGGCTTGGAGTCCCAACAACCTCATCACCCAGGCAGTAAGCATAGTACCCAACAGGTGGTACTTCACCTTTTCATTATTAAAGGAACAGCCTGTTTCCCTAAGAAAAAGAAGGTTGCTATTAATTGAACTTAGAGAAAAAAAGGAAAGTTTAAAAATGCTAATAACTGATAATTATCTTGAGCTTATAATTATCTTGAGCTTACTGTACTTATTCTAAGTACTTATTGAGTAAGTGTGTAAGTACATAAATACAGTTTGCTGTGTATGTCAGGGATATTTTAAGTATTTTCCTATATTAATTTAGCAATCTTCACAACAACCATATAAGATACCTATTATAATTCCCACTTCACAGATGCGAAAACTAAGGCACACAAAACTGTAGGGGATTTGACCAAAATCACATAGCAAATACATGGTAACATCGGCATTTCAACCCAGAAAAATCTTCCTTCGGAGTCTGTGATCCTGACCACTGTGAAACACTTATCTCAGTAAGTTCACCAAAATCTGGATGCCAAGATAATGCAAAATTATTGGACAATGATAACACAACTGAAATTTATAAAGTATTTACTGTGTGTCCAGCACTGTGGAAGTGGATTATGTGCATCAACTCATTCAATCTTCACAAGCAGCACTGTAAATGTTAAACTACAAATTTCACCATTTAAGAGATGTGGAGAAAGAGGCTAAAAGAAGTCAAGTGAGTATATCAAAGTTTCATAGCTGTTAAGTGGCCAATCTATGGTTAAAACTTAAACAGCCTCCCTTCAGGGTTCATGCTCTCAACAGTGATGCCATGAATATAATAAGAGAGAACAGGGCCAGGCGCGGTGGCTCACGCCTATAATCCCAGCACTTTGGGAGGCCGAGGTGGGCAGATCACAAGGTCAGGAGATCGAGACCATCCTGGCCAACATGGTGAAACCCCATCTCTACTAAAACACACAAAAAATTAGCCAGGCATGGTGGCAGACACCTGTAGCCCCAGCTACTCAGGAGGCTGAGGCAACGGAATCACTTGAACCTGGGAGTGGAGGTTGCAGTGAGCCGAGATCATGCCACTGCACTCTAGCTTGGCAACAGAGTGAGACTCTGTCTCAAAAAATAAAAATGAAATAAAATAAGGGAGAACAGTTTGAACTCTACCAAACTAATGGCTAACTTCAAGGACTATTTGGAATTCTGGAAAATCCAAGAAATAGGTTGCTAGAGTAGGAGTTTTAAGAATTAATACAACATGACAGGAACATACAGTTGAGTGAATCTCAGTGAGAAGTAACTCCTGGCCAGATGTAGCTAGATTTGACATCTATGCAAAACATTTGAAACGTCCTATCGGGATCTATTTCTGCTTAAGCAAATTATCACTCCTGAAGTAGTTTCTGCTTCTTTTACATTTAAACTACTACCGCTATCAAGATGACTTACTCATCAGCAGAGTTTCTCAACCTTGGCACTACAGACATGCTGGGCCAGATATTTCTTGGTTGTGGGTAACTGTCCTGTGCATTGCAGGATGTTTATCTGCATATGTCTGGTATCTGGAAGAAAACAGCAATACCTTTGTCTCCCAGTCGTAATGACCAAGAATGTCACCAGACATTGCCAAATGTCACCTGGGAGGCAAAATCATCCCCAGTTGAGAACCAGAGCTCTAAGGGAGAAAGAAGGGAAATGGGGCTTTGCTTCTAAGGTGATAGCCTTTAAAAAGTGCCTTGAGCTGTGGGACAATATAGACACTCAATAACTACTGAATAAATGGCACCCAAAGTGGGGAGCTGCCTTTAATTGATTCCTAAAAATTAGAAAATATTAAGGAGTAAGGG